TAGCTCTTGAAAGGCATCCTTCTGTTGTCTATCACGGAAGTGGAGAAATGTTGCTGAGCCTCTGATAGTGTGGCTGATGTTATTAGGCCCTGTGATGGTGTCCCCTGAATAGATATGTGGGCACAGTTGGCAATGGGCTTTGCTGCAAGGATAGGTTCCTGGGTTAGTGGTTCTGTTGTGTGGTATGTGGTTGCTGGTGAGTATTTGCAGAAGTCACCTACCACAGGACAGGCCTAACAAAGAAAATAACAGAACGCCACTAGCCATCACCTTCAGCCCCCAACTAAAACCCCTCCAACGCATTATTAAGGCTCTACAACCTATCCTGAAGGATGACCCAACACTCTCATAAATCTTGAGAGACAGGCCAGTCCTTGCCTACAGACAGCCCCCCAATCTGAAGCAAATACTCACAAGCAACCACATACCACACAACAGAACCACTAACCCAGGAACCTATCCTTGCAGCAAAGCCCATTGCCAACTGTGCCCACATATCTATTCAGGGGACACCATCACAGGGCCTAATAACATCAGCCACACTATCAGAGGCTCGTTCACCTGCACATCCACCAATGTGATATATGCCATCATGTGCCAGCAATGCCCCTCTGCCATGTACATTGGTCAAACTGGACAGTCTCTACGTAAAAGAATAAATGGACACAAATCAGATGTCAAGAATTATAACATTCATAAACCAGTCGGAGAACACTTCAATCTCTCTATCGTCACGCGATTACAGACATGAAAGTTGCGATAGTACAACAAAAAAACTTCAAATCCAGACTCCAGCAAGAGACTGCTGAATTGGAATTCATTTGCAAATTGGATACAATTAACTTAGGCTTGAATAGAGACTGGGAGTGGCTTAGTCATTATGCAAGGTAACTTATTTCCCCTTGTTTTTTCCTCCCCCCCCCCCCCAGACGTTCTTGTTAAACCCTGGATTTGTGCTGGAAATGGCCCACCTTGATTATCATTCACATTGTAAGGAGAGTGGTCATTTTAGATAAGCTATTACCAACAGGAGAGTGGGTTTGTATGTGTGTGTGTGTGTGGGGGGGGGGGGGGGAGAAAACCTGGATTTGTGCTGGAAATGGCCCAACTTGATTATCATACACATTGTAAGGAGAGTGATCACTTTAGATAAGCTATTACCAGCAGGAGAGTGGGGTGGGGGGAGGTATTTTTTCATGCTTTGTGTGTATAAAAAGATCTTCTACACTTTCCATAGTATGCATCCGATGAAGTGAGCTGTAGCTCACGAAAGCTTATGCTCAGATAAATTGGTTAGTCTCTAAGGTGCCACAAGTACTCCTTTTCTTTTTGCAAATACAGACTAACACGGCTGTTACTCTGAAACTTGATGGGTTCTGTGATACTCTACACGCCACGCCCTAGTAATATGATCATGATATAATTATGTGGCATCTTATACAAGGTATGCCTTGTAAGGTAGTATTCTAAAAGTCTTGATCTCTTGAACATTAATATCCTGTTGGATTGTATGTGTTATCACTGTACGTGAAGTTCTAGAGTTTTGCTATGTATGTGTTACTGAAAGATGTTGTGAAGTTGAAAACACCCACAGCTAGCCTTTCAGGTACAACAATGAAGAAGCTAGACAGTGCTAATGGCCCATCAGCAAAGACAATTGACCGTGGAAAAGGTTTGTCCTCAACAGGAACATTTCAGCCATGAGTAATGGATGCTATGACTCAACAAGGCATGCAACCAGACCACATGACACTGAACTCCATTTTGGTACCTGTATTTTTCCACAAGCTGGGCAGGGAATTTAGCTTGGAACAAAGGGTTCCCACCGTATGGAAAAACTATATAAGGTGGGGAGTGACATCACTTGGCTTCACTCTCCACACAAGAGAAATCCTGGAAACATCTAAGGATCTAAGGATCAAAGACTGAACTGGGGAAAGTGCTGGTCCCAGGCTAATGGGATTTCTAGCCTGTGTATGGAAATTTGGTGGACTGCTTGTATCATCAGTCAGGGTGAGAGATTGCTAATTCAAATTGCTTATCTATCTAGTATATTAGGCTTAGTTTGCATTTTTGTTTATTTGATAGATAATCTGCTTTGATCTGTTTGATATCACTTATAAATCACTTTTAATCTATCTTTCTGTAGTTAATAAACTTGTTTTATGTTTTATCTTAACCAGTGTGTCTTTAAGTGAAGTGTCTGGGAAAATCTCATCTTGATTAACACAGGCTGGTTTTGCGTATCTTTCCCATATCAAGGGGGAAGTGAACTATATTAATGAACTTGCATTGCACAGATCCCTGTGCAATGCAAACTTGTTCTGGGTTTATACTCCAGCAGGGGTGCTAGCCTGGGGAGCTGGGAAATTGTTGTGCTCTGTTATGAATCTATGGGAGGCTTAGGAAGGCATTCAGGTAACTCAGTTGGGTGTATGGTGCCACCTGCTGTCATTTTGGGTGATAACAGGACCTGGAGAGGCTGGCTGAATCACCAGCAGAGCAGTGTGAGAGAGAGACCAGCACAGCTACATTGTTAGGGGGCACAATGGTTCCAGCAGCTCCCAGACTGCATCCCGGGGGTAACAACCTGTCACAGATTCCCAGACCTTTATCTCCTCCTGACCAAAAAGGTTTGTTTGTATGAATCCCTGCAAATGACCAAATTTTGCACAGCACCTGCTATAAGTCTTCCTGAATGAAAATAAGGCCTTAGGAGCAGCTTATTGTGAACAGAAGGGCTAAAAAAGGAGGAAGGGAGAACAACTCGTAGAATTAAGAGATGTGCAATAGAGCCTCCGCTTAGATGCTTGAAAATTGATAGCCAGCAACACTTCCTTTGCAGTACCTGGTTTTTAATATCACGACACTGAGTTTATATATTCTTCTAGTTTGTGAACACCTGAAAAAGCTGACACCTGAAAAAGCTCATGTACTAGAAGCCACCAAAAAGGCAGCATTGTCTATGGACTAAGGTCAGTAACTAGGATATAGAACTTCACCTGTATAACTGATTCACTGTGGAACCTTGAGACATGTCACCTAGGGACTTATTTTCACAGGTGCTAGGCACTCTCAGCTGCAACAGAAGTCAACGAGAAACGCAGGTATTCAGAACCTCTAAAAATCATGCCCTTAATTTTAAAAATGCTTTATTTTACCCTTACATGGAATGGAAATAATACTTCTCTACCTCACTGGGGTGTTCAGAAACTTACAGACTTGAAGGCCAGAAGGCACCATCATCTAGTCTGATATCTGGCCATAGAATCTTACACCCCTATTCTTGTCGTAGTGGGTCCACAGTCACTGGCTGAGTCACTGAAGCCCTCAAATCTTGATTTAAAGACTTCATATTACAGAGAATCCACCCTTTACTCTAGTTTGAAATCAGCAAGTGACCCATGCCCCATGTTGCAGAGGAAGGCAAACCACCCCCAGGGTCTCTGTTAATCTGATTTGGGGAAAAAGCCCTTCTTGACCCCAAATATGACCATCAGTATGTGGGCAAGACCAACCAGCCAGACATGTGGGAAACTAATTAACTGTATGCAAAGCATTGCAATATGCTGTACAAGTGCAGAGTATTGGCTTGGTTAATGAAAGGTATCACATTTTACAGTATGTGCATTTTCTCTCAAAGTCCATTACAGGTACAAAATAAAAAAATATCACCCCTCACCCTCCCAAACCCTATCATGTGATAATTTTGCCTTTACCTTTTTTCATCTCACAAGTGACTCAGATTTCTAATGCCAGACAAATGCTGTTGCACAAAAGCCTTGCTTACCACAGACCTCAGTCATACAATGCTGAAACACACTTTAAAGGCTTCTTCGTACTGCGCTTTCTGTAAGTGCCTACTAGAGGGTGAGATGAAATGGCTCAGATGAACAATTCTGTGGCCTGTGTTGTGCAGGAGGTCAGACTAGATGATCATAATGGTCCCTTCTGACCTAAATATCTATGAATACGTCATGCCAGCTTGATAGAGGCATGAACTTGATCCTTTTTGAAATATTAGCAATGAAACAAGAGACAGAAGAGCACAATGTAACTGCTTATTTAAGAGGATCGACTATCTCACATTTCACGGATTAAGGGGAAAATAAAGTAGGTTGAATACCTACAGGGTCTTGGATGTTATTCTAATACAGCATATAGAATATTTAGACAAAAAAGTCCCCTTAAAATTTATTACACCAATCTTCATTAGTATTAAGATTCTTGGTTTTAGATTAAATACATGAAAATCTAATCAAAAAGTTAAATATTGCTTAAACAAAAACTAAAGCCCAACAAACAAAACACCCTGCACAAAACAAAAAACCTACAGACCAAAAATCCTTAGAATTTCTCTCTTTCCCACCCCACCCGCCCTCATGCTGAGTGTTACTTGTGGAATTAAGGTGGGTGGAGGATTCCCCATAGTCACAGGGAGTTCATCTGAGGAAGCAAAGGTTTTTTTGGAAGTGAGCAGATTTTTTTATACCACCAGGTGTTTTGGTTACACTTGTTTTTTAAATAAGTGTTTAATTCCTATAAAATTATCACCACAAATTAGAAACCTCTGTCCTTTTAGACTAATGCAGAGCAACAAATGATACACATTCATTAGAGGTACTCCGTACATTTACGTCTTCCTTATAACATGGTTTCTAATGGGATGCTTTCATATCTTGGTTCCCAACTCTGCTTAAAGCTGTAATAATTTCTGTTCAGAACACTCATTTTTGGCTGTTTTGGAGAAGCTGGATTGGGGAAGTGTCCTTCTTCTGCCTATAATGTCCTCAATATAATGCTCTCCACATAAGTCTGCTCCAATTTTATTGAACATACATTATATTACACTTATAGTACACTCACTCTTTTCCCTACCCTGCTATCCAATGAGCAGTAGTACAGAAAGGTATTTCCCTGTGCATTATCCACCCCCCCCCCATTTTGTGCTTAATGCATTTAGTAGCCATAAATGTAGCCTTTTTATGTTTAATACTCACCCATCAAGCTCAGAACATAGAACATTGTCCAGAAAAGCTGCTTCCTCTTCGTTGCTTTTAAACTCCCCTGTAACAACATCCCTGCTGATTACTTACAAGCAAAACTGGATATTACTTTAGTACTCTTGGGTTTTTAAGCTCTGCGGCAGCTCTGTCGAGACTGTGTGTGACTCCCCTTTAGTTCAAATCGTTCAGTCCACTAACATGTGCAGTGGAATTCCCTTGCACGGTTTATGCTTGTGGTTCCAAATTATGAGATGGAGTTTGTCCAAAGCTTGATCTAGCTTTAAATAGTTCATAGCAATCTCACTATCACATTTTTCCCCTCCCCTATATCCTTTTTTTTTTTTTCCACATGACACATGCTTAACTCTTTCATGGAACCTGGTTCTTTTCACTTTAAAAATGGAGAGACGTACAATTTGCATTACACTGAAAGTGAGCATAATATGGTTTGTGTAGTTTTACCCTGAATTAATACGACTTAAAAGCAGTATAAAAATGTGAAATTACACATCCACACACACCCACCCCTGTATTGTAATATTGCAGGAACTTTGAAGGCTTTTAGAATCTGGGATTTTTTGAGTAATTAAATTAAGAATGAACCAGGGGCCAAACCCACCACTGACTGAAATAAGAAGAATGCTGTTTACTTCAATCAGGAATTCACTTAGGCCAGCAGTGAACATGGTCCACAGATGAAAGGGCTTTGAAACTTATGGTCAGTATTGGGACTGAGTAACTGATAGATAAAAACAAGTTCTAAAGCCTTGGAGGGAGGCCTAAAAGGAACCTCCTGCAGCTCACTTCTGTTGATAACAAATGCAGCTAAAGATGCAAATTGGTAAATTCTAGAGGCCAAATATTTGGTTTTTGCTGGTACCCTAATGAGACCCAGGGACAAGTCATTTCTAGCAAGAATGATTTAACACACTCAGGGAAAAGGATGTCTTACATCAGTCAAGTTAATCCCCTCCTTACTCCTTTCAATTCAGATGGAGGACAGGTTGCTTTTTCCTGCCCATTTTCTCTGTTGCCTATTCTTCTCTGTTTAGCTTTTATTTTCCTTTCCTTCACAGCAAAAAATAACCTTAGAACAAGAGACCGCCCATTTTTCAAAATAAGGGTTACATCTTAACAGAGAATCTCACAGACACCTTCCTTCCCAGTCATCATTGCGCTGCACCCCCTACAGCACCACTCCACTACCTGTTTGTGGTAACTAGTTCTACTTTGGTAGAAATTTAGCATTAGGAAAGTATTTACTGTACTTTTAGCTGCCTTGATGAATTTTAGTAGGTGGAAGAATGAGAGTCACCACCTTTTGACCAACAAACTCTCTAAGTGGATCAACAACACACACACACACACACACACACCAGATGAGTTTGGGAACTTTGTTCTGAGAATATACAATCCATAAGCTTGACAGGCTGCTCTCATAGTCATCCTGTGGATGGTGAACTCGACTGAAGCCACAAACCTGAGTTCTGGTCCTAGCTATGTCACTAACGTTTTGATCTTCACTAAGTCACTTAAACTCTGACTCAGTTTCCTCACCTGTAAACTGACAATAACAATTCACTCCGTTTGTAAGGAACTTTGAGATCCTCAGGTAAAAAACCACTCCGTAAGTTCTATATATTGTTCTGACATCACATTGGTGAGAATCAAAAGTAAATCCGTCAGAATCAATGGAGCAGACTGAGGCACTAGACCCTAGAGCGCAATTTGGAGATTTGTCAAGATTTGTAAAGGTACAAATTGTTCCTTTAATATTATAAATCTTAACAATATAAGAAAAAAACTACTGTTGCCTGGCTTTTCTATTTGTGGGTGTGCAAACAACAACTTTAAAAACGTCAGTATGGAAGATAAAGAAATATTTGTTCTGTTCAGTGTGACAAAGCAGCTGAAAAAGTAAACACTGAATTGACCTTAATTTTTGTTTTTGATGCTATATTTAAAAAACAACATTTATTTTACCAAAGAAGTCAGTCTCAGCAAGATGCCTACCTAACAGGATGTACAGCAAAATAAAGAGGGGAGAGAGTGAGAATAATAAAGGCACCCTCCCCAATCTAATATTTTCCATTTGGATGCCTTTCATTCCTGTTCTGCTCCCGGACACCTTACTGCCATATCTGCCTACCCCGCCCCAAATGAAAATATAGTCGTGTTGCAGACTGTTATAAGCATTAAGAAAACACACCTGTTATGGACGTATCATGTGAAACGAAATCCCTCAGTAGATTGTGTTTTAATTAGGGCTGTCAATTAATCGCAGTTAACTCACATAATTAACTCAAAAAATTAATCGCAATTAAAAAAATTAACCGTGCTGTTAAACAATAGAATACCAATTGAAATTTATTAAATATTTCTGGATGTTTTTCTACATTTTCAAATATATCAATTTCAGTTACATCACAGAATACAAAGTGTACAGTGCTCACTTTATATTATTTTTATTACAAATATTTGCACTGTAAAAATTATAAACAAAAGAAATAGTATTTTTTAATTCACTTCATACAAGTACTGTCATGCAATCTCTTTATCATGAAAGTGCAACTTACAAATGTAGATTTTTTTTTGTTACATAACTGCACTCAAAAACAAAACAATGTAAAACTTTAGAGCCTACAAGTCCTACTTCTTGTTCAGCCAATCGCTAAGAGAAACAAGTTTGTTTACATTTATGGGAGGTAATGCTGCCCGCTTCTTATTTACAATGTCACCTGAAAGTGAGAACGGGTGTTTGCATGACACTGTTGTAGCTAGCATCACAAGATATTTATCTGCCAAATGCACTAAAGATTCATATGCCTCTTCAAGCTTTGGCCATCGTTCCAGAGGACATGCTTCCATGCTGATGGTGCTTGTTAAAATGTAATGCGTTAATTGAATTTGTGACTGAACTCCTTGGAGGAGAATTGTATGTCTCCTGCTCTGTTTTACCCTCATTCTGCCATATATTTCATGTTATAGCAATCTCGGATGATGACCCAGCACATGTTGTTCGTTTTAAGAACACTTTCACTGCAAATTTGACAAAATGCAGAAAAGATACCAATGTGAAATTTCTAAAGATAGCTACGGCACTCGACCCAAGATTTAAGAATCTGAAGTGCCTTCCAAAATCTGAGAGGGATGAAGTGTAGAGCATGTTTTCAGAAGTCTTAAAAGAACAACACTCTGATGCAGAAACTACAAAACCCTAACCACCAAAAAACAAAATCAACCTTCTACAGGTGGCATCTGATTCACATTGTGAAAATGAACATGCGTTCGTCCGCACTGCTCTGGATTGTTACCAAGCAGAACCCGTCATCAGCATGGATGCATATCCTCTGGAATGCTGATTGAAGCATCAAGGGACAAAATATTTAGCGCATCTGGCATGTAAATATCTTGCATTACCGGCTACAGCAGTGCCATGCAAATGCCTGTTCTCACTTTCAGGTGACATTGTGCACAAGAACCAGGCAGCATTATCTTCTGCAAATGTAAACAAACCTGTTTGAGCGATTGGCTGAACAAGAAGTAGGACTGATTGGACTTGTGGGCTCTAAAGTTTGACATGGTAGAAAATGTAGAAAACATCCCAAAATATTTAAATAAATGGTATTATATTATTGTTTAACAGCACGATTAATTGCAAATAATTTTTTTTAATCACTTGACAGCCCCAGTTTTAATTATATCCATTTACTGGCATGATAAAATTGAAGTGGCTTTTATTTTTAATTTAGGACAGAAAAATGTCTCTGGGAAGGAAACATCTGTTGTTAACAGATTTGATCCAAGTTTTATATATAGGCTCCTTTTATGTTGTTTTAACATTTTTTAAAAAGTTAGCTGACACAGCTGTACAGCTGTGATAAAAAGGCCATAAAATAACCCAGTAAACTATAGCTTACAAATATATACACACACTTAACCCCTCAAGCTGGACCTTACATCACTAACCCTTTGCAAAGTATACTGGGAGTGAAGGAGTAAAAAGATCTATAGAAGTGCTAAGTCTTATTTTAAGAAGGAAGGCAGTGAACTGGTTTTATTAAAATAAGAAATTAGCCTGAACTGCAATGTTCAAATCCAAGCTTAACAGATATCCGTGTGCTCAAATTTAGGGCACGGTTTGGCTCATTCTATAGCTAGGACTATTGTAAATGTTTTTAGATCTGGATAAGAATTCAAACTCTCCCCAAATCAGGGAATTGCACAGATAAAGGAGTTTGATTTGAGACCATCTCCTCTTAAAAAATGAATCCACTGAGCAAGCCTCCATAATTATAACCTGGGCTGAACATTTCCTCAACACACAAAACAATAATAAAAGAATCAATCTGGAATTTCAGATCAATGGAAAGTATTTTTCCTGCTGTTTTTCATACTCTCTTTTAGTTAGTAAACAGAAAATACTTATTTATCTGAAGGAGTTGGATTTCATGATTACTATTTCAAAGTGTCCAACTAACCTATTTCTAGATACATAAAACTGTCTGCTGATGGAGCTCAGGAAATAAATTGGGATTTGCAGATTCCAACTTCGACATAAAATAAGTTTACATGTTATGTTTTCATTTCTATTTTCTGCTCATGTCCGCATGGACATAGAGGATAACAGAACAAGCTGTACAAAATAATATATGGAAACTGCCCTGAAAAGTTTGAAATCTAGTGTGGCAGGCAAAAAGTGAGTTACAAACAGTAGGAAGGAACAGAAAGTGAGATGCATTGCAATTATGTACTCAAAAAACATAAAAGACGACACAATTTGATGTTGAAACCACATGACAAAGATGTCCTGAGCAGTTTTATGCTCTCCTTTATTAATTCACTCTTCATTGTACACTATACAGACAACGGTGGAGTCTTTTGAGTTATGCATTCATCTTCTCTCATAAGCCACAATACTAGAGTCAACTGAATGTACCGTGACCCGAAGAAAGACTATTCGGACAAGCATCACTGTGGCCGACAGGGAAAATAAAACCCCCCGCAAAGCATCCCCTTCAAATACGTTAGCTACCAAATAAACAAGTATCAAGACTGGTTACAGAGAATTCACAGCCAGGCAAGATATCAGCAAAAGAAGAACTCCAGTCACAGAGCTGAATCTGGATTGACGGGGATACATTACTACATCTGAAAACACTTGTGATTTAAAGTGACTGGAAGTATGCCATAAAGTAGAGAAAAGATTAGGGTGATGGTAACTAAAAGTATTGAGTGAGGAAATTTCATTTCCACAAAACCCCACCCTGAAATTAGCCCA